CATCAGGTCAACAAAACATGGGCATAGTAACAATATTTTTATACTACATTTATCCATTTTAAATATACTAACCTCACTCCTTTGTAACAACTAAGGCAAAAATGTAATTAATTCAGAAAGTCTTTTCAGGACCCCACCTTGATGTTTCAGGACAAATTTTACTTGGTATCAGTATCGAACATCACTAGCTCATAGTTTGATAGCCAGTTAGCTTAGCACAAAACAGGTTTGGTAAACAGCCAAATCCCCAAGGCCTCATTTTGTATTGGGTGAAAATCTAAAAGATATCACTGTTCAAACACTCAGGTCTCATCACTGAYTCTTAAAATGCAACATGAAGCAGAAAGTCATTTTAAAGGATGACTTATAACTTATTAGAAACTGCTGTCATTGTGTTAACACTGCTGCTAAAAACACCAGGCAATACTGTCTCATGAGCCTATGGCATGAACGGTAACGTACAGTGCTTCAAGCAATGTTAGGCTTTAAATTACTTATTGGAGCTCATCTTAGTGGAAAAACTGCAGCACAGTTTGATCCGAGGCTAAAGGAGTCATTTTGAGCTGTTCAGCATCCATTCATGATTTTTTTAATGTTTTCTATTCTGTCTTCATAATTCACAGGCTCGCTGTAGGAAGGTGTCTTTAAAGAGTACTTCAACGTGTGGGACGGCTGGCGTTTGACTCCATCTGCTGGTCATTCACCCAGCTTTCATGTTTTTTTTACGTCTTTTAAGCAGCTCCAAGGAGTGAAAGGAATCAAAAGTAATGTGCTGCAAAGATATGCAAATCAGGGAACACTTCAAAGGAGCGCGCGTGCAGCTGGCAGAATAAAAATCAAACATAATGTCCAGCCCAGGCGGGAACCAGCAAAGACTTGCCCTCCCTCAGACCGAGCCGTCTGGGTTTCCTCAGGTGACACTGCTGAAAGCTCACAGCAGACATCACAGGCGACAGCCAGCCGTGCTCTTCACCTCCGCTCGGCTTCAGAAACACAAAACCACCGCGTGGAACCAAAGTGGAACACAGCTCTGAAAAAACAGCAGGATGAAAAGCTGGTTGTTTACGGTTCGATGGGGGGTAAGGTGGGTTTCTGTGGCAGTCTGAGGCACACCAGCGGGACTTAAATCGCTCTGTTAATCTTAATTTATTCATCTGAAAGTAAAGCTAATTATTATTTAACTAAATAAAATCAGCTCCTGGCAGACAGCTTCAACACTTTCAACTTTACCAGTCAGTCAAAGTTCAGCTGAGAACATCCACGTCCCAGTTTTAGGCTACGATAACCACGATTTTAACAATTTAGGACAAAGTTTTYAACACACATCTTCAGTTTGTACTCAGAATATGAGTCTCAGCTACTAAYACACCAAATTCTGGCTTAATATCTCTAAAACCAGCCGAGTTAGACATTTTTTTTGTTATGTGCTAATATTGCTTTGCGGTGGTGGCCATCTTGAATTGAACTGAAGTGTTGTGTCGCTCCCTCCAGCCTGGATATAAGCAATGGTTCATTGTGGAACAACCAACCATGATACCATCTGACTTGATGGCTGAAAGGCTGACTTCAGCCCCTGCGCCGTGACAACCAGCAGCCCAAATCCCAGGGTTTTGTGAAACTACCTGAAAAGTTGCGGAGTTATGTAACATTTGGCACACAGTACAACAATCATCACTTGCACGAACTTTTAAAATGTTCCAATATGGAGCCTCTGTGACGCCTCTACGCCCCACATCGAGCAGCTGGAACCCAGTTAACCATTTGAAACACGACCACATGCTAATGTCTCTATGGCTACAATCACACTGCAGGAAAATGCGATCCAAACCCATTCTTTGTGACCCAAATATAAAACTTTTTATGACAGTCTGAATGTAACAGAACAGATTTTTTTTAAATCCGACCCAGGCCTTTTCAGTAAGTGGTACTAAATAATCTGTTTTTCAAAGTGATCTCATTCTGAACGCTCGAGTCACATTTCATACGACTTTGACTTCAGTGAGGTGGGGGTGAGCAGATCGATCCATAAAATAATAATGACACCAACTTTCAGTTTAAATCTTATGACTCTTCAGCTACAGAACAAAAGTCCAGTTGCTTTCTTTGTTCCTTTTAATTTTCTATGTCCTGGATGACTGAGAATCTACAGAAACCTCATATTAGTAACGTGGTACAGAACAGCATTGCATACAGCGAAAAAAATAAATAAAAAAGGACTCATAATAATGAAAAGAGTTAAGAAGGGTCATCACTGACCTAGGCTTATGCTACAGGAAATGTGGACAATGACTGTGCTATTTGATTCAATCAGATTTAATTTCTTCTTAGGTCTGAGACACTGAGAAATTTTAAGTTTACTTCACCCTGACCTGCTTGAAGTTGATGTTTCATGGCGCTAAGTAGCCAATAGATCTGAAATGCACCCAGACTGGCTTGGTGGTGTCCCAGAGAACTGTCCTGTGTTTTATTACGACCTGTATGAACACAAAGAGCGCGCACTTGGTCTTATTTCAACCCTGAGGGTTATAACTTCATTAAACTCTGGTGGGTAAACTATAATCGATCTGGTTACTCGCAGACACACCAACACGTCTGGAACGGAAACTCAAAACAACAGTTCCTGTTCCAGTAGTTGCTCAAAATCGTACATCCTCAAGGAGTACTCCTTTTCACTTCTTTTCTCGTAATTACGAGATCAGAAGTCAATTTTTTAATTTCTGGTGAACGCAACGCTCTCCCATAATCTTGGACTGTTTCAATACTAAAGTTACTTGATAGATATTTTACTGCCATCACATCGCTTTGTTCCAAAAATAAAATGCTGCACCGGAGCATCTGACCAGAGGCAAATTGAAATGTAAGCATGGAACTAAACAAGCATGTCAGATAATTATTGAATCTGCTCCAATTGCACACAGAGGCTGTGTCCAAAACGACAGGCCGGGTCCTCCGGAGGACCCACACTACCCGGTCGCGGCGGGCCGGGTCCTTGGTAGACCAGGAAGACCGGAAAAAAAGAGGCTGTGAATTTGGACGGTCTAGCCTCCCCTCCTTACCCCGGCGTACGTCATGTCACCTAGCAACTGTGACGACGCTAAACAAGCAAACTTAAATCAAAATTAGAAAAATATCAATATATTAGCATTATTAATATCACAAAACTATAAAATTAACTTAAAGGTATCATTTGAAGAACTAATTGACCCGCTGTAGGTTCATGTTTATTTTGTGTTTTTTTATGACAAAAATAATATTTAAAAACATGTCCATACAAATGATAAAAGTATTAGAATTACAACCGCTATTTTTTTTACAATTTTTATATCACCATATTTTTATTTAAAATGTATTCTTTTCTCTCGCTTCGTCCGCCATTACTAGCATAAAAAAATCTCCAGTCGGGCCGCAATGCATTATGGGATATGCTGGGCCGGGAAGGATCCATCAGACCTGTCCTTCGATTCGGGCCAAAGGAAGGACGTATTTGTCGGCCGCATCGGAGGAGTCTTCAGTTTTGGACGGCCTTGGTCGCGGCGCTGTGACGTATGCGGCCGAAGAATTCGGCCTTCGGAGGACCCGTCCTGCCGTTTTGGACACAGCCAGAATCGACACGCTAACATGTAGCATGTTTAGCTAACCATAATTCTCTGCATGCAGGTTGCATCAGGGCCGTGGAAAGTTCACACTGGAGTCAGATGGAGGTGGCATTTAAAATGTGTGAACATTGATGCAAAAAAAAAAAAAGCAATAAGACCTGCAGTGTGAACGTAGCCAATGAGTCATCCTCTGGCAACTACCTGATAACACTACGGCTCCACTCATGCCTGTTCTAGACATCCAAATGTAAGTTATGTCCAAATCAAACTGTTCCCTCCAGGTGACAAGGTTTTCTTGTGACAAAGTGACTAAACAGGCATGAATTTATTTATTTATTTTTTGCAGAATAAAAACGGAGCGAAGTTTTAACGTTAAAATCCCAGCTGCAGTGTGTGTGAGATGTGGCTTTATGCAGTTCTCCTGTAAGCTTTCAGCATCACTCAGGAATAGAGCTGCATTATTAAAAACTAATCATGGAATGCGTGCAACAGAATCCAGGAGGCGTTTTCGCTGCGAGGATGGCATCAACTGTTTGATAACGTGAAGCACGCCAGCCTTGGAGAGACGAATAATTTCCAGTGAGTGTCTTTGTTGCAGCTGTGCATGACTTTTTTATTACACTACTTGTGCTTAATATAAAAAAAGAAATGCAACCGAACCAAAGTAAGGACAGGTTGTCAACACGTCTCATGTCTGTGGAAGATAACGCACAGGAAGGAATAAAACCCAGGAGTCTTTCTCATATAAAACTGAATGGCAACAGTTTTATTTTGTTAGGAAATCAACACATTTAAGAAATTTATCTATGTACACTTGTTCTATTACATGGATTAAAAAAAGACAAAAAAATAAAACATCACAGTAAATTGCATTCCCACATCCCAATAAATAAGGATTCAAAAATTAATTACAATCATCCAGAGGACTGAGCGGAGCTAAATGTTAGGAACGTCGTCACGGAGCTGTTCTGAAATATTTTAAAGCTACGCTCTAAATTACGCAAAGCATCCCCACCATGAGTTCCACGGGAAATAATAAAAAAGGCAACGATTTAAAAAAATGTCATCTGTCGTGAACTACCGGTGAGCTTTAAATTAGAGGTTTCAGTTAAAACGGGTGCAGCAGGCCGGGGTTTAAAGCAGATAAATAATGCTACTTTGAGCTACTTTGTTCAAAATGTACACGAGATAAAAACCTCCCAGTGAACAACTACGCAGACAACCACAGGGTTTAGTGTGTAAAGTTGTTTTGTACGATGCATTGCACAGCAGTGGTTACAGTAAATACACAGATCCAGTGTTTCGACGCTCAGCTTTTTGATCCCAGGGTTGAAGTTCTCAGTGCTCCTCTTTGTCCCGGTTCTTTTTGTCCTTCTCGTCCTGCAGGGCGGTCCCCAGCTTCTTGATGAGGACCGACAGCACTTTGTCCAGTGGGTCCATCACCCCCCGCTGCAGCCACTTGGGAATGGTGGTCCTGGCGTGGTGGAAGCCCAGCTTCTGCAGGATGTAGTCCACGCCGACGGGATCGATCTTACGCCCCGTCCAGGAGATGAGCCTGAAAGATCATCAAGCGCCAGAATCAAAACAAGTTTTTTTTATCCAACAACGTCGTGTTTGTGTTCAAAACCAGAAAGTGAATTTTCCTCAGAAACACCCCTCGTATCAGACATTAGTTTACACCCATCACTCAGGTAGAAAACAGCTCCTAAACTCAAGGGATGGACCAGTCGACACAACTTGAACCAGTTTTAAAATTAATCTTTAGGTTCTTTGTTATCAGCAGCTTTATTTGATCTATAAAAATAACAACGATAACCCAATTTGATAGATAGAAAATAGGATTCACTGCAAAAACTGTCCACCTAACCAAGTTTTAAAATCTTATATCAGCCAAAAAAAGTCTTTTTGATCTTGTTTTGAGACTGATTTACTAAACAAGAACTGATTGTGTAAGAATAATAATCTTGTTTTCAGAATATGTAAGATTATTTGTCTTGTTAGTCTGAAAATTAAACTCAAATTAAGTCAAAAATTTCTGCCAATGGAGTGAGAAAATTTTACTTGGTAAGATGCTTGAAATAAGAAAAAAATTGAGTCAAATCAAGTATTTTAAGAATCTTACCAAGTAAAATTTTCTTACTCCAATGGCAGAAATTTTTGACTTACGGAGCCAAATTTTCAGACTAATAAGACAAATAATCTTACACATTCTGAAAACAGGATTATTATTCTTACACAATCAGCTCTTGTTTAGTAAATCAGTCTCAAAACAAGAT